GCCAATTATCACCATAACTTCGATTTTATTCTAAAAGGTTTTTAGATGCGCTTAATTTATTTGGGAAAACGATAATTGTGAATATATCATACCGTATTGTGAAGTAAATAAAAAATTGTCTGTAAGATATAGGCAAATTAGAATGAAATTAGGGCTTTCTGTTCACACTTTAATAGGTAATACTGAATTTCATAGTAAAACTTTTTAAAACAATAGCAAATCGATGTTATTCTGTGAACTTATGGTCTAGAATATAAATTAACATTTAATATTCTGCAGACGTAAAACACTACGTAAAGTACTGCAGTACTAGAAAGACGAGAAAGCTGTTAAAACACGCATACATCGGTTCCTTCATTCACTGACGCATACAGGAATAAACAGTACGAAGTAAAACGAGTACAGTCGCGAGCAAAAAAAACGGGTACGTTTAAATAATAATAAAAAAAATTCAAAGCACACATCTCAATTACCTTGCTTACAAACGAAGCTTTTATAATCATGTATTTTAAAAAAAAATACAGGAATACAAACATTTATTATAGTAACTGATGTGTAAAAATTAACAAAACAGTATACCAAAGTATTCTATCCATAACCTTCTTATATCCATCATAGGTATTTAGAAATTTGATATTTGAATAACAATTGAAATTCTTTTTTATCTGTAATTGGATCTTTTAACACATTGTAAAGATAAAGTTACACAATACAATTATCACTCATGGAAATAAACAAGAGAGTATTACAAGAAACATCGGACAAACAAGAACATTTCGTCACTCATATGAAGACTAGCTTTCGCCCAAGACTCCATCCGCGTGGAATTAAAAAACAAAACTTAGCAGCCTATGAGTTCTTCCATACTATCCTCTACACCTATGCCAAATTTCATCGAGATTTAATCAGAAGTTTAGGCTACAAACTCTAATAAACACCCATCCATCTAAACTTTCGCTTTTATATTAGTAAGAAGTAAGATGGAGTATGTCATTCCTAGAATTTAATACAGTATTAGAGTCTTGCAGGATAACAGTGGAACCAAATCTTATAACAATAGACATTGCATAGCAATTATAAATAGCTATCAAACGCTATAAAACAAAAGGTATACGCCAATTTGACTCTTGTTCCAACGCAAAGACGGATATAGTCTATTTTGAGAGTCAGTTACGTTCCATCCATGCCAGTTTAACCATTACACGGAATGTTGATTTTGTTCTAATAAAAAAGCCACTATTCAAAACAAATTGTGAACACTAGTATTTATAACGTACAAAGAAAATAGTAAAAGTTCCTTTCTTTATTTAATTTGTTGTCCATTCTATATGACATACTTGGTATATGGCAGAAACTTTGAACTTGGTGTTAGTCTGAAACTTAACTCCCGATGTCTACTGATTTATTGTATGAATAATACAAAAAACTATTGCTATCTCGGTTTTTTCAATGAAAAAAAGTGGGATGATAATGTTTTTGAATGAGTTTTCTTTAATATTGACCTTAAATATCCAAAAATACTTACGAAACTTATTGCGAAATGTAAATAAAAATCAATTAGATTTTAGATAAATTGAAAATACAGATTATAAATACATTTCTAACCGTGTCAGTTATATTGTCCTTAAGTGTACAGGTAACGAAAGTCTAAATGATATTTGCTAAGCAAAAGCTTTCAATGATTGCGGACAGCAGTGTGTTGAACACACTACCACAGTAACATAACGCCTGGAAAGGACACTTGTTACAAACATTCCCGGAAATTCAAACGTATAGACACAACAATAATGCTTCCTAACTCATATGACATTTCACAATTCATGGTCACTCTAAGAGCGTGCGCACACCTGAATCTAAACTATTCCACAACTGTTTAGTCCCGCGTTATTATGAGCTTATTTGGAGGTGCACACACTACTCGATTATTAGTTGTGCAACTAAACAGTTGAACTAGCTGCGAAACAATCGACAATCGCATTACAGTTGGGTGCAGTCAAACAAAATTGTGAGCGCGCTCTAAGTATCATTCCTTTTAAAAAATATTTAGGGTGACCATGGGTTCATATTATCAAAATACCAACAAACAGAATAAATAAAACTTCAACATAAATTTGTATAAAATTGCGTCCCAGTTTCATTTTTGGTTTATTCAAGAAAATACGTATTTTAAAAATGCTACTGTCCTTTTTAAGGTGACAATCTTCCAAAAATAGTATTAAATTAAACGAAATCGTTTTCTTCACTGACACAACTTTCCTTGATCTGAAAATTATAGCTCGAATGTCTTTAAATACGGGGCGGTGCTGATCGAAAGCGCTAACTTAACTACTTAATAAGTTTAAGTTAAAATTACAGACGACAACTCAACCTAATTAGGTCAAAGTTATCTTGATTGGGATTCACCTTGTACTTAAATATGTTTATTTATATTACCGAAAAAAGCAATTTTATTACTCGAACATAATGTACAATCTAAGTGGTCTACGAAATGCGTCCTGCCAGTTATAACGCCAATGGTGAAATAGTTATTCTTTATATTGCTTAAAAAGGGTTTATTTCACATCACATGGAAATTAAAAATTTTCAACAGTAACCATCAAAGAGCAACTTTCACGGACTGCACATTGTACAAATGTAGAGCAAAATTTGTAAGAACACATAATAAATTAAGTTTTTTTTTATTCAGCGCGGACGGAGTCACGGGTGACAACTAGATTATATTTATAGCGGGTTATCGATATAGAAAAATTGGACAAACACAGACGAGCATAAAAAATAACTAAAGCAAAGCTTGTCCCGAGCAGACATAGCGATAAAATAGTTGGACACCGGTCCTGTTCAATGCATTTGATCTATTTTAGATTAAACACGCTACACTAGGAAGGATCAACGGCGCATGATGACGTGCCGTGACGTGTGACGTCACGGAATTTCATAATTAGTATATTAATGAGATGATGAGGGAAATGACCTAGTTTAGTAACCAGACGATATAATTAACACTAACCAATGTGCCAGTAGAATTATTAACACGCTCAATGCGTAACAGGCCGATATCGGCCTGTCGCGGTACTTAAGCTGTTGCAGGGAAGAACACTATAACCCGCTCGCTAGTGTGTAAATATTATCTCAGATGTATATATTACATTACAGAAAATGTAAATCTATCGTAGTATTGGTGGGTCTAGAAAGACCTGCCACTTACTGGCGGAAATATCATTGGAGGCGCATTTTGGCCCGCCGCCGCACCAGTTGAAGAATTATGATTTTATTTGCCGCAGTAAACGTGTTAAAGGAAAATAAAAAATGAATAGTAAAGCGTATGTTCTATTAGTCGAAAGATAGGTCTATTAGTAGGACGGTTACTTCTGCTTAAAATGAAATTTGTGATTCAAACATTTAATATCTTAATAATCGTAAAATCCCAAGTATCCGAAACGTACGTAGATAGTCATTTTCAGCAGTTCCATACAGTATTACATTCTCTGCTATACAAAAACCGCAATTCCAAAATATAAAATAAAGCAACATTTATAAGTAAATTTCATGACGTTTAAAATAATTACAGTTATTATTCTTTTTAACAAACAGCCGGTTATTATTTGAGATCTTACTGCACGAAGTTAATACCCTGCTGCCATTTGGTTGTCACACGTACAGTCACAGCTCTTCGCGGTGAGTACAGAAAAAAATCCTCAATCCTTGCAACGAGAAACTCCGCCTTCTACTTACCAAATAGTAAGTAGCAGTTTACAAAAACAACGTCATAATAGTTAAAAATGTGGCGTGCACACATCGACCTGCGAATACATTTAAAAGCTACGTCTCAATGTGTACAATTCTTTCAAACAACTGTGCCTTAATGTAGAACACCATCAAATTCCCTGATAGTACAAGAATATGTTGTGATTGCATTTAAAAACAAGATATCAATTTTTAAATGAATTTACGCAGTGAATATGGTAATAAGAACATATATAAATTTATTGGCCATCATCTTCATCCTTCTTATCCTACTCCTGTAGGGTCGGCACAGCAGATTTTTGTCCTCCAAATATCTCTATCATACGTCATCTCAGTCAACACTCCCTTTTTGATTATGTCACCTTTCGGGCAATCCATCCATCTCTTTCTATGTCTACCTCTACCATCATCATCATCATCCACTTGCCCTTATCCCTTACGGAGGGTCGGCACAGTATGTGCTCTTCCATACATCTCTATCAGCCGTCATATCTGAATCCACTCCTTTCTTAAGCATATCCTCTTTCACACAATCCATCCATACTTTCTTCGGTCTTCCTCTACCTTTGTCGCCGTCCTTCAATCTTAACACTTTCTGGTTTATGTATCCATCGCTTAGGTCTACCTCTACCGGTCATCATATTAATAAATTGTAATAGTATTAAAATATTGTTTTTCCCAGCTACATCGTAGCGCTGAAAACATAAAAAGTTATGACCTAAGCAGAACGCTGTCGGCTATAAACTTAACTAAGTAACTTAGGCTAAGAAAGTTCCATAACTTGAAGTCGACGGAGAGTCGTTTTTATGTATATTATGTGCTGTATTCAATTAGTAAACATTGATTTATATCCATGAGTTACTTCATACTGTATTCCGTTAGGTGGTTAGTGTAGAAATTTAAAACTTATCTTTTCGATTATTAAAATTATTTTTGTTTTAAATGAAATTCTAACATAAGTATTTGTACTTGGTCTTGTATATTTTTTTCAATACCAATACGTAATTAAAAAAAAGAATTTAATTATGTCTTTTTTTAATTTAAGACGGTTTTCCGAATTTGATTTATTGGTGTTTTCGAATTATATTTGGTTAATATGTGGAATGATGATAGACTAAGATTATAAAGGGTTCTTTATATCAAAGTAACAATATAAATTTATAATCTTTTATGTATATTCAATCCGTAATATCTCCAACATCGGTTTATAATGCGAACTTTTCAATAAATAATCAATTCAATTCCAACACACTCACCGAAATCAAACGCTGCAATATGACAATAATTCATTTACACTAATTAAAATAACACTTTATTATAAAAAACAATAATTCACAAACACTTCACAATTCAATAAAATAACACTAAACCACTAACACAAAATTAATATAATTAATTAACGTGTGAATCTTTAGTTGATCGTGTTGCGTCTGCGCCGGTCAATATGGGAGCGGGTGCGCGCTTTGCCGCCGAAAGTAACACTGAGCCATCGCCCCAGACAGCAATAAACTACAACTAGTTGTATTTTTTTTATTTTTCATTTTTTTTCAAGCTGAAAAAAAACAAAATGACTGCAATTATCGTCTCGCCTGATCTTGTGCGGGAACTTTTGCGATTGAAGCGTAAACACGCGTCAACGGTCAAACTTTACCTTTTAAAGAAATGGTAAAGGGAAATGGCAGAATACAATTTCATTATTGCATAATTTTTTAATAAACTGTCTGAAATAATGAATTGCAACTTTATATTACACTAGCTATTGGTTACGACTTCGTCTGCGTAAAATTATAAATAATAAAAAGTATAACCTATGTCACTCGCAGATAACGTAGCTTTGTAATGGTGAAAGAATGTTTTAAATCGGCCCAGTAGTTTTTGGAGTTATTTTAATACATAATAATAATTCCTCTTTATAATATTATAGATATCCAATCAAAGTGATATAACCTCAAATGCAGTAATAAGATATTTTTTGAATACGTAGTATACGTCATTTTTCAAGAATTAAAAATTGCGTATTTTCCTTCATTTACTGAAGGGCGATTGTCATTTTTAATTTGCGTTCACATCAGTTTTGATAGGATAATCCGAGACTCCGAATTTCGGTAAGGCTTTTTTTGCGCCTGCCACTAAACGGTTAAATCTTGACATGCTTAAGAACTTCAGAATATAAATATAAATTGCAATACACTGTTGAGAAGATGTAAGATGTATCACGAGACTGCTTTCGGTATAAGTACTTTATTATATACTAGCTTTCGGCTGCGACTCCTTCCTCGTGGAATTAAAAAGGATCGGATGACGGTTTTCCCAATTTTTACTTCCTAAGTTTAATAGCATGAAAATATATCGACTAAGTCGTATGTGTAAGATACGTTCCAATTTATTAAAAAAAGATTTTTAAAAACATACTGGATTGCTGATATCCAAGTAGTGTGTGTATACGCTTTATTATATTTCAATAGATATAGATAAAAAAAAAATCCTTTGTAATATAAGGACATGTACCAAAGTTTTCTTGAAAAAAATCTTTCGCGTGCAAATAAATCTCCAACATAGGTTACGCACGTAAGACAATTTTCTTAATTCTCGTTCAGTCGAGACAAAGGCGTCAGATTTCTGCCACCACCGCCGGCAAATTCCGACAATGCACCTGACAACCGATTATAATCTGCAAAGATATTCAAACATTGAAAACATTAAAATAAACCTTATTCAATTGTGATAAGAGCCAAGTTAAACGCAAAAGTGTATTTAGTTATTAACACTCGCCGGAAGATTTATAAGTAAAAATTGCCAACAAATGTAATATGCTGCCAGTATTTTTATCGAAACACAATTTGTTTACAGTTAACTTGATTTGAATTTTTTATCTTGGCGTGTTCGAAATTCAAAAATATTACATAATTTCAAAAAACCTTGTAAATGTACCATTTATAGTCAAAAAACACATTGTCAGGATCCAAACCCAGAACCTGCAATCACAAGTCAAGAACACAACACTTGAGCTACCGAGTCTTTGATTAAGTATAGGTCTTTTAAATTATGAACACAATAGTCCTATTTAATACTAAAACGGTAGCTCATTCGTTATTCTTAAGTGGCATTAACATCGATGTATGCACGGCAATTTGTAATTGTTCACGCTCCATAAAACGTGTTCAGACCTTTTAAGGACTGATCTGTTAACTGTACTCAGGGAATTAAGCTCGCGACTCTAATGATACTAAATAAGCACTAAGTATATTGGATAATAACGCATCTAGTTGCATCATGTAAAGGTAACGACACACTAGGAGTTAATTCACTACATAGTATTAAATGAAGGCGCTTCTCCGTCTGTCTGTGCCTGTATGCTAAGATCTTCAAAACTACGCAATGGATAAAAGAGGTAGGTTTATATGTATTATACGTGTATAATATAGTAGAGATATACTAATAATTTTAGAGGTTTTTAGTACGATGCGAATAAACATATTTTCGTATCAGCATTGGTCCCGTGAGAAGTCAGAGCGGGTCGCATTTTAGATATATAAATATGTATTGTATATCGTGTATCTAGATTTTAAACCACTTTTCCCGCGAAACATCTAGAAAATAATATTAATATATTTTTTAACCAAAGAAATATTTAACTACTGCTACGTCATCTCTGTTTATATTTATAAAATTTTAAAACTAATTTATAAATGAAAGGTGACACTGTTACTTAACGTCCCATATACCAACAATCCAACAAACTTTCCCTCGGATACTGTAGAAACGGGTCACATCAGCCTTGAACAAACCGACAAAAATTTATCGTCGAAATCGATATAAAAATCGTAAATGAACTGTTCCGACCTAATCGAGGACCGCTCTAAATAGTATTACGACCAACTCTATTCCACAAATTACGTTTTTCAACATCAACTATGCTATTCCCATAACTCTTATGTAGAAGTAATAAAGTTCAAAATTGTTTAAATTGATGGAAATTGGAATATTGTTAACGCAGATCGAGTGACGATCGATTACAATTGGGATCACTTTGTGAAAGTATTTGGATTCGATTTAGTGTGTCCGTACCTTTATGTTTATTATTTTCCGTTAAAGTTGATAATGCGGATGGTTAACTTTATGTAAATTAGATTAATATAAATTCATGTTGTATTTCAAAACGGTTTCTTTTTCGAAATAATTAGGTATCACGTTTTATTTGAAATCTTATAAAACTCTCTTCGAACTTTTAATTTAAAAAACCTATCAATTATAATAAATAGGCTCCCATAATGATTATTGACACTGGAATGTAATTTTAATCATTTAAGAACACTGCAATACACATTGTTGAATTTGAACGCGCAATGCCCGTTTGTAAACCCATCCATTTTACAATGGGATAACTGAACGAATCACAAACTACACAGTACAAGCTTCCTTATCCTAACTACTACTTACCCCTGGTTAACTTCGTTCTCTCTATAATGTAGTTAGGTTTTCGCCCTCTAAAACCATGCATTACAAACTACCGCTTAGATATGTTAAGTGGGCGTTCATAATATGTTATTATTTATAGAAAATTTTTACAAGAAACATAAATCTATCTATACTATTATAATAAAGCGTAAACATACACTTCTTTGTTGCCTAATATGTCAGCAATTACAACATATTTTCGAATAATCCTTTTTTAGTAGAAAGCCGTACATTTGCGTCATGCTTTAGGCTATATATTTTTACGCCATTAAACTTAGGGCGTAAATTTTTTGGATAAAAACCCTTATGTGGGAAAGAGAGCATAAGTTGCTGCCAACATCAAGAAAGCAAGGTTGTCATCATGTCATATCATTTTTACATTTGTAATTGAGAATTTGACAAATGTAAACGATAAAATAATGTTTTTTTTTATAATTCCATGCCAAGCCGCACGGGAACAGCTAGTTAAATTTATGCACAAATATGGCCCAGCAAAAACCATATAATTGGTGTGTCCGCGGGTGCGGTATTACAATGTACTAGTGTCGTATTGGAGTGTAGAGTAGTTGTGTAACATTTTTTTTTGTAAAATTATATAAAATATATACATACATAACATACTGTATATAAATAAAATATTCTATTCATGGGTTATTTTCAAAAAGATGGCTTTCCAAACGTTTAATAGTTTTAGTATGTGAAATACACTAAAGGCCACCCTTAGTATAACTCTAAGTGAAGTCAATAAAGTAATAGTAATAAAGTCTTATTTTTCGGACATATTTAAATCGATTCATAGAATCGATTTTCAATGTTAAATGTTATGTTAATTCAGTCGGTTTGTTTAAAATAGAAGCCTTTGCGTACAAGGTACATACTAAGCTGTTTGCAATCATTAACTTAGACAGTGAAATGTGTTGATGTAGGTAAGGTAGTCGCCGCTTACTTTGTGAATTGTGTGTCTGTGCATATTTTTTTCATATATTTATATTTGCTGTTAAAGAAAAGCACAATCTATACTAATATAATAAAGTTTAAACACACACTTCTTTGTTGCCTAAGATGTCAGCAATTACAGCATATTTTTGAATAATCCTTTTTTTAATAAAAAGCCCTAACTTTACGTCACGCTTTAAGCTATATATTTTAGATAAAAACCCTAAAGTGTGAAAGAGACCATAATTTGCTGCCAACATCAAGGAAGCAAAGTTGCCATTATTTGTCATCATGTCATGTCCCTTTGACATTTACAATAAAATTTTCATAATTTCATGCGGATGAAGCTAGTAAGAAATAAGTTGCAACTGAATACTTTTTTATTATCACAATTTTTAAATAATTTAATTACTGGACCAGTGTAACTTTCTTATTCTCTCATCTTAATTTGTTTCTCAACCCTAGAGTTTTCAGTTAAGGTTGTGTACAGCCCTATCACTAGAGAATGGTTTAAAAATCGAACGCACCGTTCCCGCGTTACTCAACACTGGACAATAGAATGTTAACGAATGTTTTCGAACACAATTCTCTATAAAAACTTTGCTTGAAAATTAAAAAACAGTTTCTCTAAATATTTTATTCACGTACAGTCTAGATGATATGGGCAACACTGAACTTTACTTTTTTGAATCGATTTCTTATTTTTTTATTTCTTTTTTTTAATTATTTACAAGATGGGGTCTAATGTAACCGCAAATCGTAAATCTATAAATCGCCACTTAATATGATGAACACATATCTTTTCCGAATATAAGGTCAAAAAATTATACAAAATTCAAGTGAAAAGGTGATCATCATTTTCGATACCAATAAAAGCATACATTCGTAAATCATTGTATTCAAATTGTGCAATTCAGATACAACTGTACAACAACCGCAGATATTTCAAGATAAGGCCAATCACGTCGAGGAAGGCGTTCAATCTCATTCACAAATCTGACAAACGCCTGCGCAATCCATTCATCGATTTCTCCTGAACGCAGCCAAAATTTACATTCCTCAAAACATACAAGGACATCAATTGTTTTCAAGCAAAAATGTTTTGTATTCCTTTTGAAAAAAAGACGAGTATCGCATAAATCATTTTTTTATTCTTGTTTTAAAAGAATACAGTAATTAATTATTCATAGCATGCAACACTCACTGTCACCTCGTTTGTCACAGTTGACAGTTTTTTTTACGCGCGAGATAGGGCATGCGAAAAGCCACACGTCCCTTTAGCGAAACATTTGCATCGAATGCATGTTGCATATGAAATGATTTTTCGAAATGCAGTTGTTTCAATCGAAAATACATTATTTAGTTTCATTCAATTTGTAAAATATAGTTATCCGGTGTGAACGGAAATTAACATAAACACGTGTAATACATAAAATCTATACTAAAATATTCTTTTACATATTTTAAATGTAACTTTAATAACTGAGTAATTTAAAATTAGTTTGTAAATTATTAAAATCATCAACTCGTCATCAACTTGCCCGTATCCCTTATGGAGGGTCGGCACAGTAGGTGTCTCTGCTCTTCCATACATCTCTATCAACCTTCATATCTGAATCCACTCCTTTCTTAAGCATATCCTCTCTCACACAATCCATCCATAGTTTCTTCGGTCTTCCTCTTCCTTTGTAGCCATCCACATTCATTCTTAACACTTTCTGGTTTATGTCCCCATCGTCTCGTCGCATAACATGTCCATACCACGCTAACCTTTTGCTTCTCAATTTCTCTACCACTGGCGCTACTTTCAATTGTTAGAATTGTTTAAATAAAAAATGTATGTCATTTAGATATATCGTTAATTTTTATAACAAACTTGAACGTGTTGGCAGTTAAAAAAAAATAAAACAATCTCATAGTCTATTTTTCAAATACCAAAATTTCCAATCAGTATTCATAACAACGTCATGAAATCGATAATTCGCTAACTAAACGATGTCACCTACATAATGAGGCCATGAGAAATCCCCTCACGACTGTCATCGTTTGCCACCCAAGATAATGCCATAGAGTCATATAAAGACCACCAAGAATCCATCGTTGCCATATTTCAATGTCATTATTTATGATTCATAATTCTACTATGACCGTTTGCTACCTCTCGAAGCGGGCGCTTTCTGTTTTCTGTTTTTATTGTTGATGTTGGCTTTTGTCGTAGGACATATGCAAGACCTAGATGAAATCATATGTTTATTTTTTTAATCAAGGAGAAGTTGTTATTAAATACTGTAAAGGATATTAGTTAATTTTTATATAACAAGAAAACCCCTAAAAACCTATCTGAAGGTAAACTATAATATGAAAGTACTTAACATTGTTGATTTTAAAACAAAATAGATCAATACCAAAAGGTCAATGTTGAGTCAGTAACAAATTATGTATCAAACAAGTCCGGAAAAGCATTCGTAGTCTATTTGAACTATAAAGTACAAGTGCCGACCACTTACGGGGTAATTAGACGCTTAACAGCCAAGTAGTGGTGTAAACATAACGGTTATTTTAGGAAAGCAGTAAATCGGCCAGTCAACTGAAATGTTAAATTACTGAACTTTAACTTCCTAGTCCTACTTGTAACACTTCCGAAAAGCCATACATCAATGTTGTCTATAGCGCCATCTATTGTTGAAAAGCTGTCTTACTCTTGAGATCCTTATAAAATCATGTTAATTTCTTTAAAAAAATCTTCAAACCTAAGACAATTTATGGGTCCTCCCTTTTTAATTAATCAAATTATTTTAATTTAACAAACCCAATTAAATATATAGCATAGCAACCCAGCAACGTACTGGCAATGAAACGCGCCATATTTATTTCTTTTCTGACGTTGCTGTCAAACTATCAAAACAGCACGTGTAAAAATGCGTATAGAAACTTGTTATTTTTGCTCATCCAGGATATATCCTGGCCATGGAATTCAATTTGTAAGAAATGATTGCAAGGTAATTAAATTGTCCCCTTCAAATTACATGTTTTATACATAACTTGTGCTTATATTGCGTGCAATTACGCCATACTAAACAGACTGATAGATTTTCAGGTTTTGTCGCTCAAAATGCCATGCAGCATTCAAAAAGAAGAAGAACCCGCGTAAAACTAAGTGGACCAAAGCGTACCGCAAGACAGCAGGTAAAGAATTGGCGATTGACCCTTCATTTGAATTCGAAAAGCGTCGCCACACACCGGTCAAATATAGCAGAGAGCTATGGGAAAAAACGATTGAAGCGATGAAGAAAGTTGAAGAGATTCGTCAGAAACGTTCAAACAACTATATCATGCAGAGATTACGGAAAGGACGCGAAGTCGAGTGGCAACGAGATGTTAGAGAAGTACAAAGGGATATTTCTCTTATAAGGTAAATAAATTTTACTTAGAATACTACATCTGTAGCACAAAGTTATCTATGATATTAATTTAGCTCTTGCTTAACTTGCATTCACTAAGTATAATAAAAGTTATAAAGAAAATATTCTTAAACAATTTAAAACAAACCTTTTTTTTCCATTACAGATCACCAGCAGCTGGTCTCAAACAGCGACAAGCAGAAGAAGAAACGGCAATGGACATTGAACCTGAAACTCTGGAGGTTATGGATGCTAAGGGTCGCAGGACGGTAGTGGAGGCTCCAGTCATGGTGCCTGCAATGAGAGAAATGATTGAGGATTGCGGGGAAGTAGACTTGTAATGTAGCTACTGTAAAAATGTATAAGTTTCAATAAATATGTTAAAATCTTATGTTATTTATTAATGCTAATTTCATACATAAATCAAAACTTTTAACTAATTAAAATATTTGACACTACTTTTGCCAGTGTTTTGGTCCACATGGATTTAAAAAAAATCTTAGTAGTCTATGTGGTCTACGAGTCAGACTGTTCTATATCTGCCAAATTTCAGTGAAATCCATTAAGCTGTTATCTGTACTATTATAATGAGGGAAAATTAGGGATTTTTAGATTTATGTACGACTTGAAATAACTTATAACTAATGGGCTGATTTCAAAAATTCTTTCGCCATCAAAAAGCTGTGTTACAAGTGAGTAACACACGCTCTATTTTTTATTTCCATTTGGACAAAGTCACCCGCAACAGCTAGCTATATGCACAAACATCCATCCATCCAAACTTTCACATTTGTAATATATGTATTATCTAAATTTAAATATTCTATGATTACTTATACATTCTTCTCAAAACTATTCTGTTCTGTTGTCTGAATTGATTTTCGTTTACTGATAAATGTAGTTAAAATACACAGTAAACAAAGCCAAGATTAACTAGTCAAGAATAAATCATTCTGATGTACAGCTATACAAAAGTTTCATCATGTATAGTATAAAAGTAGTATTGATTTCCAACACCGAGACTAATCCTCTTAACTTTATTGTCAGTTGTTGTCAACATTTTCACTTTGAGAATCGTATTTTTTTAAAATACCAGATTTTTTTATTTACTACAACCATTCCTACTAAGATATAGGGCTTATGCTAGTTTGTTTCACGACAATAGTCACCACAATTAAAAGTAGATTTTTATTTTTGTAAGTTTTGTTAAAAAGTTGCTAAAGCAATAAAATAACTAACTTGATCATTAGATTCTGAACCCCATCATTTTACATACTGTATTTTCTAAAAAGAGCACAAATCAAATAAGATTTTAAATATTTTACATGTGATTACTTAATTACTATTCAGAATTTATGTAAACTTAAGCAAAAAGGTTGACGATCCCCGCCTAATTCAATTATCCGGTACTATACTAGACTAAATGGCTACAGTAACTAGTCTTACGTTAGTTAATGTTGCATGTCACAAGCTATAAGGAATCAAATAGTCGCATCCGTAAAGTTAATTCCGATAATGAATATTTTGTCGTTCATTCTAAGTTTTGTGGTTGCAATCATTGCGTATTTAGTGTACACAAGTTATGTGAATACATATTCAAGTATAGTAATTAAGCCCGATAAGAGATATGATTATATAATAGGTAAGTAATTAAGTAAAATACCTTTTACTGGAATCAAAAGGATATAAGTTTTATTTTATTAGCGCCTGCCGATTTATATTAGCAATTCTGAAATGTAAATTTTAAGAACTAAAATAAATTAGTAGTTCGAATGAAAAGTCAATTAAAACAAGTTTACAAAGATGGCTTACTTAAACATAAAGCCTATTTTAAGTAAACTTAGATATGTGAGTAAAAAATGATAGATGCGTGGATATATTATGCAATGAAATAGCAAAATTTTGTTGCTATTCAGTGGGAGCAGGCACAGCGGGGTGCGTGTTAGCCGCTCGACTCTCAGAGGATCCTGATGTCAAAGTGTTATTGGTGGAGGCTGGAGACCACATGGGCTTCTTCACCAAGATCCCGCTCACGTCTACCGCTGCACAGCAGGGACCTAACGACTGGTCATTTAGAACTACGCCGCAGAAGTATTCGTCTTTTGGACTTTGGGATCAGGTATCAACGATCCTATTCTTTTACTTAGGAAACGAGAAAGACTGAATCGTGATCATCGGTCATGAAAGTTAAGTATATTGTGTGCTATTGTTTAAACCATTTATCTTCTAGATTTGGGATAAAGTACAGGTTTTTAATTACATTTTCCCCAGACACAAATTCTACCAAGAGGCAAAGGTTTAGGAGGTTCTGGTCAGATAAACTTCCTACTGCACGGTTTCGGTCTACCTGAGGACTACAATAGATGGTCTAGGAAGGGCTTCAAGGGCTGGACATTTAAGGACTTGAAGCCTTATTTCATAAAAGCCTTCGGGACCACCATGAGCGAATACGACTCCACATATTGTCATGAAACGTCGCTTTGTAATGCGGTATGTATGTTTATCTACGAATACAATATGTATTAAGGTATGGTTAATCAATTTTGAATTAAAATCGCCCAATTTTAACAGTTTTAGAACCCACTTTAACATCTACGCACTGTAGGGCTGACTCGTTCTTTGGAATACTACGACGACACAGAAGATATGCGCCAAGTGGAAACAATTCCGCGTTTCGTTTGATGATTGTGCGTGCCAGAGGCCTAATTTTACTTCCTTTCGCTTCCCACCCATATTAGTATGGGAAGAGAAAGTGGATTTGTTGTTGGTGAAGGGGGCAAATAGGAAGGAGAAATATCCTCTTTATGTACCCTGTTTATCCGTCAATTAAGGCTAGGTATTTGCAATTGCAGATGCCTACGGGTTGCGGTCACTTCGCCTTTTAGGCGAACTCAAGTGAGCGCAAGATCGTTTGCCAGCTTGTATATAAAAAAATGTGCATACCAAATAATTACCGTTCCTTCACTATAAAAAGAGCATTTTATTTTTTATATCTATAAAAAATAAAATTGACGAAAAAAATATATAGGCGCCAATGAAACTAAAGCTGCTATCAGAAGACAATGAGCTGATGAAGACGTTCAAGAAGGCGTCATCCAGCCTGGGCGGGCGCGGCACCGTGCTGCGCCGCGCCACCGCCACTGTCAGCGCTGGCTTGCGGCACTCCAGCTGGGACGGCTACTTGAAGCCAGCAATGCACAGACCTAACTTACACGTCTTACTTAACACGCAAGCTGTTTCGGTTAGTTACTGAATTATTGAGATTATTAGAGCATCGGTGGTTCAAGTATTTAACGGTTAAATGCACGATTTTTTCTTTTTAAATATCATAAATTGCAACGGGTAGTAATTTGAACGTAGATTAAGGGGAAAAAATATTTTTTTCAGAATAGTCTTTTGGGTAAGGAAGAAAAAACTGATGTATAAATGCATCATCATGCATTTAAGATTCACACTTGACTTGTATACAGGTCTTGGGTTCGAATCCCGTCATATACCAATGTGATATTTGATTTTTTGAATTTCATAAGTACATATTTTATTCGATATTTTTACGGTGAAGGAAAACATGATGGTACTTGTACATGTCGACGAAATTCAAAGATATATGTGAAGTCAACCCTCAGTGGGCTAACATGGTTGATTAAAGCTTAGTGAATCCTTACTCAGAGCCCCTTAGTGGGGTGATAATGATCCCTTTCTGTTTCTGCTTTAATTAACAGCGTCTAGGTTTTAAAGAAATGTTTTATTTCTTAGATTCGCTTCGACAACGTGACAGCGTCATCACTATACATTCTGCAGAACCATCGGAGTCTTGATAATATATTTGTGGAGCGAGAGATCATCCTGTGCGCGGGGGCCATCAAAACTCCGCAAATATTGATGCAGTCTGGTATTGGAAGTCGAGATCTTATAAAACGGTACTTACAGAAAGTTTCCAGTGTTAAATACTTTTTAAATTAACTATAGATGTTAAGACTAAGGTACCTAATTATGGTCTCGATCTAAGTGTTATTTAAATACCAGCTGTTCCCGTGCGGCTTCCGCACTATTCCGCATTTCACTCATGACTGTTTTTTAGAATTTATTTAACCGCTAAATTTAGCGGTTAATACTTAATTAAGTATTGTGTAAAATGTAAAAAAAGGATAATTAAAAACATACTATGATTGTATGTATATACTGACATGTTATGTAGCAAAAAATGTGTGTTTAAGCTAAATTGTATTACTAGCTTTCGGCCGCGACTCCGTCTGCGTGGAAAAAAAAACCAAATAGCCTATGTGTTCTTCCAGACTATCCTCTAAATTTATACCAAATTTCATCGAGATCCGTTTAGCAGTTTTGGCTACAAACGCTAACTCACATCCATCCATCTAAACTTTCGTATTTATAATATTTATATGATATCTATACTAATATTATAAAGAGAAATGATTTGTATTTTTGTATGTATTGAAATAACTCAAAAACTACTGGGCCGATTTTAAAAACTCCTCCACTGTTAGAAAGGTGATTTATCTGTGAGTGACATAGGCTATAATTTTTTTTTTATTTCACGCGGGCGAAGTCGCGAGCAATAGCTAATATAATATATAGATTTGTAGAAGTCTGTCTGTCTCTTTCCAGGTTGAAGATCAACCAGGTGGTGGAGAACGAGCAGGTGGGCATGAACCTGCACGACCACATGAACATGCCGCTGTACGTGAGCGTGCGGAGGCAGCTCAGCATCACGCTGGCCAAGGTCTTCACTGCCACCACGCTCTGGCAGTACCTGTGGACCAGACAAGGTTACTAACACCAGATATAATATATTTAGAGAGGTGAAAGAAATTTTAAAAGCGCCCCAGTAGTTTTTACGTGAATCGAATACATAAAAAAATGTATAGTATAGTATAAACTAGGGTTGTAACGGAGGCCATTTTAACGGAAACGGATGCGAATGCGGAGGCGAAGGGCTTCACCTCTGCAGAAACGGAGGTTAACGCAAGCGGATGCGGAGTTATCTTTTCTTGCGGAAGATCCACACTTGCGGATGCGGAAGCGGAGTTCTACTATCCTAATTTATATTAGGCTAGTACTTTATACTACTAGCTGTTCCCATGCGACTTCATCCGCATAAAACCATGAAAATTTTATTTTATTGTTTACAAATGTCAAATTATCAATTGCAAATGTCAAAATGACATGACATGACAAACCTTGGCAACATTGCTTCCTTGATGTTGGTAACTTATAGTCTCTTTCCCACATTAGGGTTTCATCCAAAATATTTACTCCCTCAGTTTAATGGCGTGATAATATATAGCCTAAAGCGTGACGTAAGTGTAGGGCTTTTTATTTAAAAAATATATATAAAAAATATGGTGTAATTGCTGACATCTTAGGCAACAAAGTGTGTGTTTACGCTTTATTATAATAGTATAGATGGGCAGAGTAAATGTGTGCAGGCTACCTGTCGTTCCCGCCGGTGTGCGGGGTGGAGTACCAGAACAAGTCAGCGGTGATGTTGTTCGCGCTCGGCTCCGCCAGCGAGCGCCTGCTCAGGGACCTCTCCAACTACAAACATCAGGTTACACTCGTATCACTCATTTCTGGCTTCTACACCTAAAATAATTGTGGAAAACCAGATATCAAAATGTTATATTCTACCTTAAAAACAGAGATGTTTCCTGCGTTTTATTTCTATTTAAAGAAATGAAGATAGTCCTACTAAGTTATTTTTTTGTAGTGGGTTTAGTTTTAGTTTTAAATTCTTTGTCATGTAAAACTTTTTTTTTATCATAATGTGTTAGCCTGAAAGTGTATCCACGATATTGTGTTTTAGTTATAATTATTTTCCTTCATCAAACAGAACCTATTTCATGTGATATGTTGGCTTCCTATTATAAATAAATAAATATACTAGCCACTAGAAACTATGCAAAAAGTAATTTAACAGAGTTCGGAAATGTATTTCATTAAGTTATGGGACCAATAATAATAATTAATAATAATAATAATAAACATTTAATCAGCTCAAAAACACATTGCAACATATTAAATACACTTGAACACAAAATACAAACGAGAAAAAAAAGACATTAACTATTTATAATCAAACGAATAACAGATGGCAAAAACAAATTATTAATAAGACTAACGAAGGATTAAAAATAATAAAACGAATATCATAAAAATCTAACTAAAATAAGAGAATAATTTGATTCAACATTTGCAATATGACTAATATAATAAATGGATGGATGTTTGTTAGAGTTTGTAGCCTAAACTGCTGAATATTTGAAATTTGTTATAGATGATAATAGTCTGAAAACCACATAAGCTACTACTTTATAATATTTTCTAATTGTGAAAACGTTAAAAATTGAGTTATCTGTACAATCAGGTGTACCGAGACACGTATCCATTCTACAACGACACGAGGAAGGAGGGCTTCATGTTCCTAACGACGTGCTCGCAGCCGCACTCGCGCGGCCGCGTGGCGCTGCTCGCCGCCAGCTCCGCCGCCGCGCCACTGGTCGACACCAACTATCTACATAAATATCACGACGTTAAATGCATGATTAAAGGTATATCATTTTTGTGTACACTTTGAAAATATAGCCTATATTACTCCCAAATAAATAACCTTTTGAATGGTGAAAGAATTTTTAAAATCGGCCTAGTAGTTTTTGAATTATTTCAATATATACGAAAATATGATTTTCGCATTATAATGTTAGTATACAGGAATTAAAAAAATTAAAATAAATGGTCGTTTATAACATTCCTGTGTACATCTACCTTCGTACGTCTTCGTACGGAAACAGCTCGTTACATTATAAAAAAAGAGATTTAAAAAAATATATAAACGAGACAGAACCATATTTTTTACTTATATAACTTGTTAAGTTCAGCGCCATCTAGTATCCTTGTGTAACATGTAAACAAAATTGTGATTAACTCCATCTTTTGGTTATAAATTTAAATGCAATTATAATAACATGTGGTTTTGAGGATATATCAACAGATAGCGTTAGTGTTTCAAGTGACAACGCTTTCTTTTTATATATATTTTTTCTCTTTATAATCTATCATTTTTAAAATTACCGTAACCAAAATAAACTTCTTCCTTAATGTTTGCAGCTCGTAGTTTATGGCCCCTTTCCCACATTAGGGTTTTTATCCAAAATATTTACTCCCTAAGTTTAATAGCGTGAAAATATAGCTTAAAGCGTGTCGTAAGTGTAGGGCTTTTATTAAAAAGTGTTATTCAAAAATATGCTGTAATTGCTGACATTTTAGGCAACAAAGAAATGTGTGTTTACGCTTTATTATAATAAAATAGAAATAGATAGATATAAATATAAATATATATAGAGTATAAATTATAAATAATTGTAGATGTGATGTAATTATTTTCTTTTATCTGCAGCTATTCGTCGTGCAGAACGTCTGATATCAACAAAGGCGTTCCAAGAGCTAGGGGCCAGGATACACTGGCCGCGGCCGGAGCGCTGCAGAAGCTTGTGGAGATACAGCGCAGACGACCAGACCGGATTGAAACACAACAGGAAGAGGTCTGCTATGAATGCTTAAAATTGCGATTATTCACAAAAATATCATAATAAGAGTATAGTTATTATTATGTATGGCCAAATTTATACTAATATTATAAATTAGAGTGATTTGTATTTTTGTATGCATTAAAATAACTCAAAAAGTATTGCGTCGATTTTTCTGTGAGTAACGTAGGGTATATTTTTTTAATTTAACGCGGACGAAGTCGTAGCAATAGCTAGTGTTTTATAAACTGGTAGTAACTACATTTTCAGTACTTTACAATATTTTTCTCTCCATGTAGGTTAAAATCAATGAAACAAGAGAAAAAGCCAAGAGATGCTAAAGTAAAATCAAAATCAAAGTTAAGTCCCCCTGATGAATACTTGGAGTGCGCACTGCGCGAGGTGGCGGTGACGGGCCACCACGCCGCCGGCACCTGCGCCGCACCCACAGTCGTTGATGATCACTTAAGGTATACTTTTACATTAATTCGAGTGTTTTTGTACTAAAACGTAGGGTGGTTTCTTTGATAGTATACTAAGTTCAGCTATCATACTAATATAAATGCGAATGTTTAGATGGATGGATGTTTGTTACAGTTTGTAGCCTAAAAGGCTGAACAGATCTCAATGAAATTTGGCATAGACGTAGAGTATTGTCTAAAAATTCACATAGGCTATTCACTTTTGGTTTTTTTTAATTTCACACGGGCTTAAATTTTAATTTATAGACATATTCACACATATTATTGGTTTTTTTTAGCTCCCGAACACCCGTATCATACAAACACTATATTTGTAAAAGTCAAGATTGTTTAATATTATATTCCCACAAGTGTAATAAAAAACATTCTAAAACGTATAATTTAAAAAACCGCCTTAATTTTTTCACGAGCAATGTTTAAATTTTAAATTTTTCAACTATTGAAAATTTTCAGGCTCTTTAATAGAGCCTATTAAGATCTTAATTCTAATAATTTACAGAGTGAAAGGCGTTAAGGGGTTGAGAATAATGGACGCCAGTGTACTACCAACCCCTCTATCTCTGTACCCAAACTCAGTGCTGATCGGAATGGCGGAAAAAGCTGCAGATCTTATACGTAACGCGCCTGAATCGTTAATTTAATTACTTTATTTTTATTATATGTGAGTGAAATTATGATAAAGCAGTGTTTGTGTTTATAATTTAGTTTTAGAATGTTGATTAAATAATAAACTATTTTATACAAAATAAATCTTTTATTCAATAACAATCTTTGTCACCAGCAGTTAAAACACTTCCAGCATCACCAGACTTAGTATAATAACTTTACAGTGTCGAGTTATTTTTCTATTTTCTTTTTCTTCTCCAAATGCAGAACAGTGACGATATCAACAATAATTTCTTTCGTATCCGTGAGGAATACTTGTAGAACTACGTCAAAATCTCGCTCAGGTATCGGAATTGGCATATTTTTAGGCGGCAAATGCATATTATAGAACTTATATGTAGCCTGGAATAAAGAAAAATACAAAGTATAGTTCTATTTATATTTTAGTAACTCGAATTTAATTTACTTTTGATCAAAGTTCTACCCTCTCTAAAACTGGCTATGTAGCTTTTTATTCATGGATAATTGTTAAAGCAAATAAATAATTTCGCCTATTATAAAATCTTAGAGGTTTTATTTACTTATTTAGATTACGATGGTGACTTAAATCTGACATCGATAAATAAATAAATATTTTTTTTTTAAATACTTAAATGTACTTGCCGGTTTAAAAGGGCAGGAACGAGGTAAGTTAGTGTACTTCTTCATGAAGTCAGTCAACCATTTTACTTGTACAACTTCACAGATCTTGTACGTCAACTTGAAGTTACGACCTGATTTCATTTGAAGGATTATAGCTATCTGAAATGGTAAAATTATAAGATCTGCCAATTAATTAAACATACTTCATACTAATATTATAAATGCGAAAGTTTAGATTGATGGATGTTTGTTAGAGTTTGTAGCCTAAACGTCTGAATGGATTTCAATGAAATTTAGTATAGAGGTTAGTTTGGAAGACCACATAGGCTGCTTACTTTTTATTATTTTTTTAATCTACGCGGACGGTGTCGCAAGCGTCAGCTAGTTATCAATAAAAAGGTGTAAGCTTCCGACCACGAATACACGCTGTTGAAGAAAAAATTTTAGAAATAGCTTATACGAGTTTTTAAAGCTTTGTTAATGTTTACAAATGTAGCTAACTGTACAGTTTCCAATAAATCTAACGTTTTCATGCGTCAAATTTTAGTTAAACTACCTAGGTTTAGTCCGATGTTAACGTTTAATCCGTTTAAGACCTAAAATTAATTTAGTAACTTATTTTCATTTAAAATATGTTATTGTGTACTTACGCTAACATTATTATTGTATGTTACAAGTGTGGTCCCTGTCATATTGGTGACTAGAGCGTGGTCACTGGTTCGAGCCGCAGACACCGAGCAATTCGTTACATACTTCGGGTTCCAGGATCTTATCGTCACAGGACTGTCACCTCCATCCTGTTATATTGTCATTTCAAACGATTTGTCTCAAAACAAATAACTATGAATACTTCTACTTATTATATAATACCACGCATGTTTACAATTAAACAAGCAATCAATGATACAATTTTTATTTTAATATCAGTCAAAAATAAAATAATAGTATTTCGTCGATTCGATAAACATATAAAACAAACATTATTTACTCTAGTTTAGTCATTTTATTGCAAAATATAACCTCCAAAAATATAACATACTCACAGCGTAACAATACCGCGAAAGGGATAATAAAACAAAACAAACTAACGTACACGACATTTTGACACCGATCAACTAACATAAAAAATACAAATTGATGTAAATATATGGACGGTAAATTACATTTTAACGAACTAAAAGCATTATAATCATTAAATAGACAAACAGAAACGTTTAGATAGATCTTTATCCCAATATAAAACCTTCTGTATACAGAAATAACAGTAACTATCTCATAAAGCATTTATTTTATTCTGGCAAACCAATTACGTTTGTACTTCCGTTTCCATTAATAAAATCACAGAACTTCCTGTATAATACGACAGGCGATTTTAATAGTAAATAAGATTAACTTATAACTTTACGTAAATAATGATATATAGATAAAATTTGTATTAGATTTGTCAATGTTCTGTTACGCCAAAGTCAGTTAACAAAGTCGCTGTCGATACGTATTTTCTTGTAAATTTTCGTGCTAACCCACAATCATTTATTCCAGTCACATATATCATACTGCTTTGGTAGAACAATATGTTGCTTCTATAATCGGCGTTCACGTAGAACTATCAATTGTATAATTAAAACAAGCATGATCACTTTGTGCATATTAACTTCTGTCCCCTACTAAGGATTACTTTATAGTGATTCAGTTTACCAAATATGTAAAGAATTCGAGTTAAAATGTACGAAAAAAATGATTAAAGGACAAATAATTTTATCAATAAAAAGTAGGTAGTATTTTAATGCTTAAAACAAGTTTAAAGTGTTGAATAATACTTACTTTTGAAAGTAAAGTAGTTAATTCACTTTCGAGTTGAACTCGATAATTGCTTTTACGCAAATAGTAAGGGCTAGACCTTTTTTTATCTCATGACAAAAATAATAACAAGTAAACATTACGTTTATACAGCCTGCTTTCCTTCCAGAGTGCAGTGTTTATGCTGACTTGATACCGCGTTGTTTATTTCGTTTAACCAGGATGTGTGAAACACAAGGAAGGCTCGACGGTAAAGTGGCGATCGTCACCGGCGGCAGTTCCGGGATCGGTTTTGAAGCTGCTAAGAATTTAGCTTATCGAGGTGCGAGGGTTATTATCGCCAGTCGAAACGCTACTAAACTTGTCAAAGCTAGAAACAGAATACGAAGTGTCACCGGTAATAAAAATGTAGTGGACAGAGTTCTTGATTTAGGATCGCTAAAATCTGTTAGGAATTTCACTGACTTCACAATCAAGACAGAAGAAAGACTCGATGTGTTAGTCAACAATGCAGGAGCTCTTGGACTATCAGATCGACTAACAGAAGATGGATTAAACCTTACCATGCAAGTGAATTACTTCGGTACATTCTTACTGACGTATCTATTGCTGCCTTTGTTAAAAGCATCAGCTCCGAGCAGGATTATAAACGGTGTTGCAGTAGCGATGTACATCGGACATTTAGATTTCGACCATTGGAACGACGTTGGATATACTAACGTTCAAGTAATGGCTAACTCGAAGTTAGCAATGGATTTATTTAATGCAGAATTAAGTCGACGCTTAAAAGATGATGAAGTTACTGCAAATACTTTTGACCCATATATAACAAAAGATACGGATATTTTGAACAACATGGAAGGACTTTCTAGGAATATTTCTCAATTATTTGTTGATATAGTGGGCCAGCCTAAGGAAGACGTTGGTAAGCAGATCGCAATGTTGGCAGCAGACCCTGATATGGCAAATGTAACTGGCAGGCATTATAAATTTTGTAGAGAATGGATCAATCACTGGTTGGCGTATGAAGAGGATTTTACTAAACAACTTTGGGACGCATCAAAGCAAGTTGTAAATATAACAGCGGACGAGGACTGGGATGTTTAATACTCGTGAGTGAAAACATTTGCATGGCTTAGAGGGCAGCAGAGTCGTGATAATTTTAAACTTTCGAAAATAAATAATGAAACAAAAAAATGTTTGCGTTATTACGTTAAAATATATCATTTATCAAGTAAGTTACTCACCTTGATTGTTCTTATAAAATCTTAACTACACCTGTGCCTTTTCAAAATAATAGTATTGCTAATTCTTTACCAAGGTCTATATTTTTATAGTGATGTGACTTGCACGTATCGATAAAAATTTAAAGATACGTGTGACGACCCGCAGTGGGCCAGCTTTGTTGACTCTAGGCTAGTCTCCCCTAAGTAAGGGTTCCCTTGGTGGGTAAGATAATAACATAACTGTGCAACTTATATGCGTCGACGCTAATTATAAATAATACACGACTACCTTGATAAATAAAACTAAAACATTTCATGTGACTTATCTGTGCTTTTGCGAAATAATAACAAATCTCAAGAGAATGGTCTCTTTAACCAAGGTTAAATATTACAAGTTTTTATTTTATATGATTAATTAACCGAGAATCAATATAAAGTTTCATTTTAACCTTGGCATTATGTAATAAAGCCTACAAAAAGATGTCAATGATAAAAGCACTATGTATATACAAACTCAATTACCATATATTTTGTTAATTGTTGTATTATTTCTGGTAAACTAAGTAATTTCATATTGCAATTTGTTTAGATACGACGCGTCTTATATTCCTTATATGTTTCTATCCACTATGAAGAAATGTTGTTACCGAAACAAACCAGTATTACAAAATTTCTTCATAGTACACTAAACACTTGAAGGTCTACTTCTCAGTCGGTCGTCGACAGTCGACTTTAACATGCGTGAACACGGCATGAAGTTGTACATAAACGAATTCTCTAAATGCGAGACTGATGCCAGACTTGACGGGAAGGTGGCGCTGGTGACAGGTGCTACATCCGGCATCGGCCTAGAGACAGCCAAGAACTTGGCCAAACGTGGCGCTAAAATCATCATCTCGAGTCGCAATCCAGCGAAGCTAGCTAAAGCCAAGGATGAGATTATCCAGTACGGGGGACATACGAACGTCTTCTCAAGGCAAGTAGACTTTGAGTCTTTGTCGTCTGTCAGAGAATATGCAAAAGAGACTTTAGCGGTAGAACCACGGTTGGATATTCTGATAAACAACATTGGAGCTGTAGGTATCAGAGATGGTCTAACTGAAGATGGTCTTCATACTATGATGCAAGTCAATTACTTCGGAGGGTTTCTGTTAACTTTTCTTTTATTCCCGTTGCTAAAAGCGTCAGCACCGAGTAGAGTGATTAACGTATCCTCAATCGCTGTTCTTCTTGGACAAATTGACTTTGCCCATTGGAATGATGTTGGCCAGTATGCCAGCTTTGGTTTCTATAGCAACGCGAAGTTAGCCCAACTGTTGTCTACTGTTGAGATGAATAAAAGGATCGAGGGCAGCGGCGTCAGTATCTACACATTCGACCCAGGAATGACGAATACAAATATCGCCCGGTACTTCGAAAGCGAGTTTGTGAAGGGATTTTTAAAAACATTTGGAAGACGGCCGGATGATGTTGTGAAGTTGCCAGTATTCTTGGCGGCAGATCCAAACGTGGCTGACCAAAGTGGTAAACACTTTAGAGATTGCAAGGAATTTTACAGCAGTTGGTTTGCCAACGATACAGCACTTACTAAAAGACTGTGGGATGAGTCTAAAAGACTCGTTCGAATTCAAGAACAAGAGGATTGGGAAATCGAATAAGGTGAATAAATATTGTGAAAGCTTGTGTTATTTTTTGCGAAATAATTTAGATATCATTACCTTGTATTGTTTGTGGTTTGCAATATGTTATTTGTACTAATTTTTAATTATGTTAAAACAACAATCAAAATACAAACAAAAACCAACTTTAAAAAATGATAACTAGAGGGATATTTGCAATTTCCCATAAATTCTATAGGTTAACAGGGTCAAGGTCAAGGTACTATTTTTGCATAAGCGAGAATTTTTTTTGTAACAGCGTAACATATAATTATCAATAACAGATGGCGCTACTGCCTTTTTTAATCGAATTAGCTATAGACAGTAGCGCCATCTGTTATTAAATATTCAAAAGCATAACAACACGAAAAATGTGAATCAAAGTTGTTACCAAATTGGCCGATAGATGTCGTAAAATAATATATACGTTCCTAAAATAATGTATACGTTAATTTCGAACAAATCGGAGACTGATTACGAATTGTTTTACATGATTCTGTAACGTCGTCGACATCATCTGAGATTTATAATTTATTTAAATATAGTTATAAAGTTTTTGTAAATCTAAATATGAAAAACATGTTGAACTAATTATGTAATTTTGGTGCATTTTTCCTCGTCTTTAGTTGGTTCCTTTTAGATCTAAGATTGATTGACAAAAAAGACAACCTGTTAATACCTTCGGTTTCCTCCTAATTACATTTACATTTCTGCAGTACCGAGTGATACTTGTAATGGACACTCGTCCATTACTACTACTACTCGTCTGTAAGTACAACACTAAGTGTTGTACTTACAGACGAGTAGAGAGGGGAAAGGTCAGATGCACCGACGGTTAGCTTCGCGCGGCAGTCATTATGTCAGGCACTGATCGCGCTTCCGCGTGAATTACGCAAATATTCGTCGTATGGCCCAAGTTACAAGAGACTATCTTAGGAAAATTACAGCCAAAGATTATACAGCGAGATAAATTGGAAACACTAGTAGATCTAAAAATTACTCTTTTTAAACCTAGTTACGATCATGACCATTATTTTATCACAGAAAATTTAGTTTTTTGGCATCTATTAATTTTAAATTCTTTCGTAATATGATTAATATCTCACTTTACTTTTTCGGCCACTACTTTTTAATATTATAATGTGGTAAACGAGCTAGCAGTAGCGACTATTCGTCGTAAAAGCTAAGCAACAGTAATCTATAAACATCTACAAATGCAGGCGCGGTGATATCACAAAAAGAAGATATGTTCCTTTCCTATGCGTCCTCTCCTCTGCCAAATCCAACACCCCCTTTCCATGATTTCTAAAAAAGAGACTAAAAATTTAGACTGTGTGGATGTTCTCAAATATGTTATTGCGAGCCTCTGTTAAACCGCTACAGCTCTTAACTTAGACGTCAAGGGCGCATAAGACGCGTTAAAAGGATTCTGCGGTGGAACGCGAAAGTTTGTTTTCCTTGCCGCTGGAGACGCTCCGTGCATCTCTAATGTACCTCTAATACGTTCTACATATTTGTTAGTAAAACCACGACCTCTTCCCACCTAAGTAAACGACGTGCTAGTTGAGGTAATCAGGGAACAATTACATAATGTAAAGCTCCGCTACCACAGATAATATAATTTACTACTATATACGAATGCTAACTGACAGTTTTTAACCGAAGTGTCGCGCTGGAAGCGACTGTTCAATTAAAACGGTAGCAAGCTTTAAATGTAATATTAAATTATAGTTATAAATCGTATTGCAGGTTATTAATTGTTAAAATTTCTGAGTTTTTACCTACGAGCTCCCTTACACTCGTGTTAAATGACATTTCATTCTTCAACATTGAGTGAGTTTAGGCTACGGATGCAATACAAACTGGTGTAAAACATTATACTATCAGTCAGCCAAAAATAGTAGACAAACAGACGTGTTATTGAACAAAGTAGGTCGAGTATGATTACGTTTAATCTTTGGACAAGAGTACTCTATTCTACGTTACTTTCAACAGATTTATCTAGACATAACCATAAATATATAACCATAAATAAATAAAATAAAATAAAAAATTATCATTGTTTTTTTTATTTTATTTTAAACTAGAACTTCCACGTGAAATAAAAAAAAATATATAGTCTATGTTACTGGGCGATAACGTAGTTTTTTCAATGGTGAAAGATTTTTTGAATTCGGCCAGTAGTATCCGAGTTATTTTAATACATACGAAAAAAAATCTTCTTTATAATATGAGCATAGTATATGAGAATAGAAATGTCGGATCCAAATTTAAATTATTTAAGTAAACTAGATCCGTTTTAGCGATACTAGCGCCATGAGAGAGTTTACGGCCAGTTTTAGCATAGTAAATAAATGTGGTAGGTATGTGTAGCAGAGGATTGGGCGTTAACCCATCCTAAAGCAGCCCTGAATGAAATGTTACATTGTTAACAACAAAAGAATTACACTAAAAAATACACGACACCTTAAATCAACATGTTGTAATACTGGGATGTAAATAAACGTGCTCTGTTTTCGTATCACGCGCATAAACAATAAAATTAAAACGTGAAAGGAATCAATACTACCAGAAAACGAATCTGTTACCTCTCAACAATAGTAACACCTAGACTAAATGTCTATAAAAACGCTGCATAGTTAATACAATAAATAATAGATTGAAGTGGTAGCAATTCCGCTTTTCGTGTCAGCTTAATTCTTCCTCCTTTTACCATTTCGTACACGGGTTGGAAAAGAAAATAGGAATTAGCAGTGAATGGCGTAGATAGGGAAAATATCCCTTTTCTGTGCGTTTTAACCACTTTTTAAAGGCAGGTGACACCTGGGAATTACTTAAGCGAATTCCTGTGGCCGCTTGCTCGTTTTTCACCTTGTTTTGTAAAAAAAAAGATTATTTATCAAGCATTTCAGTATTTATTAATTTGTCTTCAATATCTTTATAAGATGCCTAATTGTCTTTAAGATTTTAATACTAAGCTATCCTTACCTACCTTTGCAAGTCAAATCTATGTAAGAGTTTCCTTCCGCATGTTCGCGGCTCTCAACAGGTCACAGAAGACGATCGCTATGTCTTAATTACGTCAAAACCTTTGCCCCGCACTTTCCAATAACGTAAGCTAGTGACGGGCAAATAAACTGTCTCCTCTATTAATATACTTTAATCTCTGTAGCAATCCATTGTCACGGTGACCACGGTTTACAACATTTATAGTCATCCAGATGTAATAATTGCTTAGATAGTGATAATTTACTTTTGGGCTTTTTTTTATTTATGCTTAAAAAATCTTATAGCCTCAGAGCGCCAAATATATAAATAGCATACGAGTGTTTCCTGTGCATTTCTATTCATTGTGCGGATTAAATCCATAGAATCAAACACCAACTCTTACACTAATTGAGTGTTTTCTCACTTAACGACTCTGGGTACGGCAGTTAAATTCTAAATAAACAATATAACACAGGAAAACACAAGCATATCTAGGCCGACATACTGATGTAAGTTTTCTATCTCAAAACTGTATTCAAACCTCTCAAATCATAATTTAATAATTATGTAACGCGTTGTATAATCTCTTATATGTAATTATAGATATTGTAGAAAGTATTGTTGTGAGTTATTGTTAGTAAACTTATTTACATAAAGAATTACTTGTATTTCAAATAGTATTTATGTAAAAATGATGTAAGTATTTTAAAATCGTTGTCTTCAATCTTAGTCAATAAACTAGCGCTTTAACACGATCCTACTTAATTTTAAAACCTACTTTCGAAGTATAAGTCATCGGCAACTTAAAACTACATAAAATGATATGTTTGATAATTAAAATACTAGGTACTAAATTAACACGGTGATCCCCAAAGGATTTCAGGTGTCCCTGCAGTCCGAAACAAGAGGTCTACGAGGAAAATAGTCTATATTTCTGAGTTAGCAGATTACTGTTCTTCATTAACTTACGGAGTGTCTGAACAGTAGAAAAGTCATGCACCTCTATCAGCTGTCAATTCTGAATTAACGAATTTAGGTTACTATTATTAAATGATTTGGATTTAAATCGTTTCCCATTGGACCGATCGATTTCATATAATCAATCGATCCAATGGGGAGATTAAGGAAAAATCCCAATAGTTCAATCGATCAATGGACTGAGTGGGACAGTCCAAATTTAAACACCCCTATTTGCATCCTACTTGAACATTTGTTATTGTTCTTGTAATACTTTTAAAAACAATAAAAGTAAAAGGAAGACATCATGCAATGAGTTTGTAGTGACATTAGCATGCGTGGTCTGCGGATTGGAAATTTAGTGGCATCTGTAATCTCGGCTTTATATCTCATACGTGATGGTTATTCCTGATGACACTCCGCTGTCACCGGCTGCGAGATGACATCATTGACAATTCTTTTCACTTATTTAACAGTTAACTATAAGTACTTGAGTTTGTAAAAAAACATGTCATGTACAGGGGAAATGTAAAGCAAACTGACTTATTTTCCACTTGGCGATTAGCCGCACGCCATTATAATTATCTTTTATTGGAGTCATAAGTCCCATTTCCACTAACGCAGTTGTAATAGCTATTTAATTCAGTTTAATGCGTTTAGCTGTTAAGTGCAAAGAGGGACTAACAAGTCATAGACATGGCGTTCTCATTTTTCTGTAATTAAAATTGTCATTTTAAAATCTTCGTTCTGTGACAAAATGACAAGTGACAATCGTGCTATACGTGCTACTGTCACGTAGCGGCGATTGTACTCGACCTTCTCTGACACGATGTTAGCTAAACTTGTTAAAAAATATGTTGAAAAACAATAATTTTCGTCACATTAGAGTCGCCATGAAATTGAATTTTAAAATGTCATATTTCAAAAAAAGTTAAAGGTAGTTAAGTTCATGTTAGTAAAGAGAAATGTGAAAAAAAGTTTTTGGAAAAAAGTATCTCTTTATTTAAATAAATTTCATTACAATTAAAAATTAACAATGCAACAAATAGTGTGGAGAATTACATTAGTGCACCAATTCTA